GTTTTCCATATAAATGTTCATTCGATTAAAATTTATTCAGAACTTATAAATAAACAATTAGGAGTTTTATTTTATTATCTACTACCGAAATAAATATGCAAGTGAGCGAATACCTTTAAGTTAGGATAAATCACTTAGGTTCAGGGGCGATTCAGGTTGACTTTTGTAAGAATTGTAACCGTACAGAGCTCAAATAAAGTTATCTATCTAACTATTTATCTACTCTATCGAAATAAAGTTGTATTTAGTTGTATTTTACTTTAAAATTAATGAAACATAAAATTTGTTCTTATTTAGGGATTTCTTCCATTTCATTTGTTATTGCCAGTATCATAATACAAGAGTCTTTATTAATTACGTTGACTTGTTTGAATCGCGTGAAACGATAAAGGCTTTCTCCACAGGTGCTGCTTCGGACCGACAACGAATGAATAATTCGACACGTGCCGTCTGGGCGCTCGAGCGGCTTTACTCATTTTCTTGAGCTACTCGGCATCAGGTTGATTCTCGTCGCCCGCGACGAGATTTATGAGACCTCACCCCCGCGAGCTCCCAGACATTTTGAGAACTACGCTTTCTTAGACGTAAATTGAAATGTAAGTTTTATATTGCTTCGGCATTTGCCACAAAGAATGAAAAGCATCATTGAAATTTATAAAGCACAAAACCCTACATCTAGAGAGTTGAATTTATAAAATAATCTCTGTTCATTGAAGAGCGAGAAAAGATAAATTTGATATAATATATAATTATCTTGTTAAATATAATAATAATATTATTATTATTAAATATTAAATTATTTTTTGTTTAATCTCGCTTTATATTTAACACGATTTGCACTATATAGTATAAAGATCAAATTTTTTCAAAATTATTTGTCAAAATTCGATCCAGAAAATTAAGATTTAGCATTTCTCTTAATTTTACAATAATTATCCCAACAATAACAAGTATAAAATAACAATATTTACTTACCAATATTATAAATATTAGAGAAAAATTACGATTCAATTTTTTTTTAACAATGATATATTTTCGCAAAATTTTCACTTACACTTGTTTGTCCATGTATCATATGATGTACATATAATATAACAAACAAATAATTGTTAAATAAATTTATTTACAATGTTTTTTTAACTACAGTTTTGAATAGCAAACGTAATTTATTTTATCAATTTAATATTAAATTTTTAATTTATTTTATCAAAAGTGCGATGTGATTTTTTTTTTCGTAATTCGATGATATTTCAATAAAAGCGACAAATCGTTTACGAGTGTCGCTAAACCAATTATATGATACAAAAAAAAACTCAAATGTAACATAATATAGAATACGCATGTAATTGTTAAAAAGATCAAAAGATACAAAGATAACTACACTTATGACAATTAATAAAAAAAATTAAAAATAGTAATGTTAAAGAATAATAATCAACAATAACAAAACAATTGTGTAATATAATCTAATTTTAATAAATTGTAAGTTTGTATTCATGTAGTTTTAGCCAAATTATCTTATCTAAAAACAATGTTAACTCTGTCAATGAAAATGGTTTAAATTTTTTTTCTTTTTCTGTTACAAGAACTGTAACAAATTTTATCGCTTCATCCAAAAAGTTTTTTCACATAGGAAGGATGCGTCGGTCCAGCAAAATCGCGACTAAAAGATGTAAAGTGCGTCAGAGCTGTAAACCCTTCCGCGACCATCGGCCCCTTTTACGAGTAATCCCATGAGCTCTTGACGACTGTTTTTCATTTCAAATCCCACGGCAGATAAAATGCGTATTTATGACAGATACAGCGAAAAGCTACGTGCCACTCGGTATTTATGGGGCGAGTTCGGCGCATATCCGAAGGGATGTTGCTGCTCATAAATCGATAACGATCGCAACTCATATCGTGCAGATCGCTTGGAGGAAAAAATTATCCTCCGTGATATACTTGTCGATTCGTCTACCGATTTAAATCCTAATTTTATATTATATTTGTATATTGTATTTTCATATTCTTTCCTCCATATCAATTCCATAATTTTGATTTGCATAATTGAAAGTGGACTGCAAATTCAAATGCGTATTTGTGCATAAGCGTGTACACATGTATGTGTGTGTGTACTTGTGTATATTGCATTTAGAAACTAAGATTAATGTTATTTTAAAACAGACTTCTACTATTTATATTATTTTATAATTTTTAGAATTAGATTTAGTTTCCAATATTAAAACAAATATTGGAAATAGAAATATCGCGAGGAGAAGAACTCCTAGAAAAAAACTAATAATAATCAATGAATATAGTTGCATTTTTTTGAGAATAAACAATTTTCATTAATAAAATTTAATTATCTAACATAAAATTTTTTTTACTTCACTATTTAATAAACTTCATTTATTAAAAGTAAAGAACAAAATTGCATAAATTATATTAAAATATAAAAAAAGACGTGACTATCAGCTATTTGCCGTAACAACTAAATTAATTTTTTTAACAAGAATTAAATAGAAAACTTAATTATCTAATACTAAGGATGAAAGAAATTTATTAAATTAAGTGTTCAAAATATAAATAGTTTCTGAAATACTATTGTTCAAGAAATTCGCCCGAGAATCAGTAAATAAGAAGTGCTCGACTACTGATGTGGCCTTTATAGTATTAAACGAACAAAAGGTGCAGTCGAGGAAGCAATCTTTTTCAAGCCCATCGAAAAAGAAGCGGAATTTATGAACCGACCGATAAAGTGATATTTCATTGTCGGGACTCGCCACTCGTCTGACCGCGACAGGTCTTCGGGATTTACCACTTATCGCTTTTTTTTTTAATTAAAATGTGCAACGTGCTGCTTTAAGAAGTTTTGCTAAGAGGATTATGCGAGGGAGAGTCACCTTTCCGTCCTCAGATTTTTTTTTACTCGCGGTCTTCCGCGCTTCATTAGGAATCTTCGACGAGAAAAGAGGAAGCACGTAATAGCAATTCGATTTAAAGTATGTAAGTTCCGCATGTTGGGTGAAACTCAACCGGCACACAATGAAGCACAAAACTTGTTCACACGAAACTCACACGACAGAACGACGAGGACGATGGCGACGGTGATGGCAGAAAGTTTTCTTTTAACTCTTTTCTGCTAAGGCTATTTAGACCAGCCGCCCGTTAAAACCAATAATTGTTCTTGTCATTACCAGGTAGGAGAAGAGGTAAGAAGATTAATTTAATCCTTCGTTCTCTTGCGAGAGGGGAAACTCGCGTAACCATGGTCCTTGGGCCAATCGGCGTTCTCATGCTATTCCATTTATGATAAAGTACAAACGGCGAACTGTAAACATATCGGCACAAGTCTCGAATTTGTAGTTTGCTGGCGCGCGGCCGGAAACAGCAAACCGGCTAAAGTAAATGTAGGTCGACGAAAGTATGAAGTTCACGCTCGGATAAAGCATTTCGCGTAGGTTCCAATATCTCGCTAATGGCGAAAAACTATTCTATAGTATACGGTAGTACAAGTGAAATTTTATGATGCACGTCTTATAATGCAAGTTTTTATGCAAGAACGATGATTTTAACGATATGCCAAGAAATAAACATGACATATATTTGAATTCGGCAATTTTGCGATTTTAATGTTATTTTTCTTTAATTTATTTGATTTGTCATGTATTAATAAAAATATATATATTTTTATTCTAAAGGAAATGTATGTATATTCATTTCAACGTACATACTTCAGTAGCTGCAACATGAATTTACGTTCTGAATTCATGCTATAAAATGTTAAATAAAACTTTTTTGTAACATTTTAATAAATTTTGTAACAGTCATGTAACTGGTTTAACTGAAAATATTAGATATTGCAGTTGGCGTATAAAGTATAAAATGCGATTTATTACTCCAGAGGAGTTGAAGAGATTTCGCACATTCTCCAGACGCCGTCGGCGTCATCATTTTCGAAAGAAACGAGTATTCAAAGATTTCTGTAGTACGGCAAAGATAGTCCTTGACTATAAAATCCGGAAAGGTGTATCGCGCTGCTCATAAATAAACGAGACATCTTATATAAGCACAGTTTGCAAACGCTTCGTCTATCGGAGAGCTAGTTGTCTCGAGTATTATCACGGACGCAAATACGAGTGGATGTTCTTTACGCGCGAGAGCATAAAATCAAAAAGTCAGATTCACGATACTTCGCGGACTCGTAAATTTTTCGTGAATTCACTGTCCACTAAAAAGTTAAAGTCGCGATCTCTTCGTGACTATATACATAAAGACGCAGAAAGATTGAGATCAATGAAAACTTTCTTCGTTTTGAATTTGTTTCTTAT